AAAGTTGATATTTTGATGATAGTTTGGACAAACTCGAAATATTCAAATAACACCAAGAAATCGACTCCATATCATACAGGGCGTGCGAAAATTACTATTATTTCCATTGTGCATTAAAGTAGTCGAAAGTTCATTTTTTCAAATGAAACCCCCTGTATATTACTCGATAAATTTGAAGATGGTGATCAATGCTTCAAAATGATATATCATGTCCCTATACCTAAATCGTCAAGTTTTCTTAATAAAGCCGTTTTTGTGGAAAAATAGTTATTCACGTTTTACCTTCAAGTGTTGAAAGTGGCATTTGATTTTGTGACTGGAGATTATTGCAAAACGAGCGTCAGCAAGTGGAGCAAACTCACGAGCAAAATAAAATCACTTTTAACAAATGTATCATACAAATTGTTTTGTATAACGTTACTGCTGATAATAAAAAAAAATTATAGGGTTCATGGGATTTGAACACACGATCTTTGAATTACAAGGCATATGTTACAACTACATACGCCAACTCAAGTTATTTCAAGGAGGAATATTGGTTAGTCATGAAGGACTTTCTACAGTTGGACTGAATACTACTTCGTCATCGTCAGTAACTTCGCAGGGATTTAATATTAATAATAGCACGAACTGCATGTGTGAACTTTTCTAAATGATTTGTTGGTGGGTGTTCTGATTGAAGTGTTTCTATCAAAGAGATTTTCAACAACAGTTGTACAAAAAATAATTTTTAAAAAATTTGATTTCTAGGTAGCCGTGGAAATATCAAGCTTATGACAGTTTGGTGACTTTTATAAGTAATTGATAAATGGTTATTGACGGTGTTTCAAAAAATCGCCAAAAATGAATGCAAATATTGATTATTCAAAGGAAGTTCTTATGAAATTATTTATTATACACGGACAGTGATTTGATCACACTGATCAAATCATTGCCAGAACTTGTAGAAAATTCAACCAAATGTATCCTGAATTGACACCAATGAACGAGAGGAAGTTTGTAAGATTACAAAATAATTTCCTTAACTATGGCTCCATGTTAAAAGCGCCTTCAACATTTCCAAAACCTATTACTTCAAATGAGGACAATACTGTTAACGTTTTGGCATATTTTTATGCCTATCCAGAAGCTTTCATTCGCAGTGCAGAAAAAGATTTAGGTGTATCACATGCTTCAGTACAACGAATTTTGAAAAATCACGGAATGCATCCGTATAAATTTACCAAAGTTCAAGCTCTAAAAGCAGAAGACTTCGAACGTAGAATGCATTTTTGTGAATCCCTTTTGATTCATACACAGGAAGATCGGGAATTTTTGTCAAAAATAATTTGGGGCGACGAATCAAAATTTACGAGGGATGGTATTTTCAATAGAAGGAATAAACATTTTTGGGCTGATCATAATCCTCATGTTACAAAAGAAATGGGTTTTCAAGAAAAATTTGACCCGAATGTTTTCTGTATTCTGAAGAACAATAAAATTAGCTTTTTTATTTACGAAGACACACCGAATGCAGAGAGATATCTCCAAATATTAAGGACGACTGTAACCGATTTTCTTGAAAATTTGCCTTTAGAGGAATATAGGAATTCATGGTTTCAAGTGGACGGAGAGCCAGCTCATTCCAACCAGAAAGTTTCCAGGAAACTTGACGAACTCTTCGACGATCGTTGGTTTAGGCGTTTAGGGCCGTGGGATTGGCCACCGAGATCACCCGATCTAACGCCACTTGACTTTTTTTATGGGGTGTTTTAAAAGAAAGGGTATACAGTACTCCAGTGTATACCAAAGAAGAATTGCGACGGCGAATAGTGCGGAGTATTGAAGATCTGGATCCCCAGGAAATTGAAAAAGCAACCACAAGTCGCGTACAAAAAAACATTTTAAAGTGTTTAGAATGTAATGGACAACATTTTCAGCATTTATTGTGAAAATGTGATATTTTGTTTACAATTTTGTTATTTTGAATCATCCTATTCTGTTATTGTCTGTACTTTCACATATTTCAGCCCACAAAATCTTACTTTTTACCTAGAAATGACATTTTTGGTATAGTTGTTTCCTGGAAACATTGTTAAGAAAATTATTTTGTAACCTTACAAACTTTCTCTCGTTCATTGATGTTAATTCAGGATACATTTGCTTGAATTTTTCACACGTTCTGACAGTGATTTGATCATTTTTTTCATGTGTATAATAAATAATTTCATAAGAACTTCGTTTGAATAATCGATATTTACATTCATTTTGAAAGATGATTCGAAATACCGTCGATAACTCTTTGTAAATTTACTTATAAAAGTAACCGAACTGCTATAAGCTTGATAATTCCACTGCTACCTAAATCCAAATTCTTAAAAAAAATAATGTTTCTAGAAGAAGCGACTTTATTGAGAAAACTTGACGATTTAGGTATAGGGACATGATATATCATCTTGAAGCATTTTTTACCATCTTTCAATTTACCCAGTAATATACATGGGGTTTCATTTGAAAAATGAACTTTTGACTACTTTCATGCACAATGGAAATAATAGTAATTTTAGCACGCCCTGTATGATATGGAGTCGATTTCTTGGTGTTATTTGAATATTTCGAGTTTGTCCAAACTATCATCAAAATATCAACTTCTCATGAATTGAGAGTACTGATGTACTTAATTTCAATTAAGGTTATGTTTTGGACAATATTTAGCACAATTTATTTTTTATCTCGAAAACATATAGAGATAGGTATGGGACATTATTAACAAAAAAGTATCAAAATATCAGAGCGATTCCAAAAATGTATCAATATATGGGGTGTTCCATTTAAAAAATAAAGTTGCTAGGACTTTTTGATGGAAGTGGCAACGCCGCAATGCTGAAAATATTTTAGATCGATAGAACAGGTAAGGAAATGTGAGAGGTGAAATTTTCAGAGAAATCATGCTTTGCATTTTCCAGAAACGTCTAACCTACCATCGACCGTGAGTCACGCTGTATATACAGTAAAATGGAATAACTGGGTCTTTCAGTCAAGAAATCAAAAATCAAAACTCTGCTTTACTTTGCCAAGCTTCCGCTTCTAGTGGAAAGAGAAAAGTGAAAAATATAAATAGATTTCTAAGGAATGAGAAATTTGAACAAATTTCAAATTTGAAAAGGCGTGTTAACGCTAATACGAAGGTACTGTGAGAGACATGTAGGATTTTTGTCATAAAATTCACCAAAATAATCAGAAATTTCAACATCATAATCAAAACTTATTCGTATAATAAGCCATTTTTTATTCAAATGAAAATGTCATTCTGAATATCAATGAAATCGAATAGAATACGCGACGTATTGGTGATGTATCTAGCCGCGTAAAGGAACGATATATTTCACCTTAAAATCCTATTGTTGAAAAATACGAGTCATTTACGTACTCTGTTCATAAATTCACGTTATTCTAGTGAACAAAACGATTTAATTTGGGAATGGATATTCTGTTCTTATATGGATGCATTCAGTTGAGAATATTTCAGGAAATAATCTTTACTCGACCTCCCGACCAAAAAATTTTCTCAGATAAATGTCAATTTTGCCCTCATGGTATTGCTGAATAACAAACGTCTGATTGAAAATGGAGATTCATCGAAAACATCACTTTCTATAAGAGAGACTTCATTTAATCACTTACATCATCTATCACAGCCACCACTTGCTCATTCGCATTTAATTTCTTGTAGGGTCCAATCTTGGAAAGCGATCTACCAAGAAGATCCAGAACCTTTGGACTGTCTTTTCTGCAACCAGCTTGGTTCTTTTGAGAGGATGTAATTTTAAATCCATCAGTATGATGAAGAATAGGATCGTCTCTCACATTTGATTCTTTATATAACTTAGATAAAAGTTCCTCCCTTTTTTTATGATAGGGCCCGAAGTGTGGTAATTTCTGAAAATTGATAAGAAAGATACATCAAAGTTACTCAGTTATTCAGAAAATCCGATGCAAAGTTTTCTGAATTACTTCGTATGATTATATGACTTTGGCTTTCTTTTCAGAACACAGCCCCTTTTTTCCAACTAGTAACAAACTTCGTGAGACTTGCAGCATAGAACACATCTACTAATTACTAATATCTAATAAATTTATATAAATGTAAAATAATAATTCATCGAATCTCCGTTCATTATATGAAATACACATTAATATTTTATTTCAATACACTTTGTTCAGAACAAGAAAAATATTTGATAGCCACAAAAATATTTTCAATATGAATTTTCACGGCATCCAATTTCATTACTAAACATTATACTTCACAATTGATTTGTTGAATATTCCTACTTTCAACTGTTTCAAGCATTTGAACTTTCACACGCAAATTTGTTTTCTCATTCTATGACAAAAAATGTTGCTTGAAATCAATTGCTAGTTGAAGTAAAACGTCGCTGTTGATAGATTTAATTTATACTAATTGATCATGGAAAACGTTTATACCTTTCCATTTTCGTCGAATAGTGAAATAACTTTTTTTCCTTTCTGATGTTTAAAAGTCGGAGGACTTTGACCTTGCCAACCTTGTAGTCTGCCATCCAAATACAGCATTGCTTTCAGTCCGGTACAGTAATCATCGATGACTGTGTAATCCTGATTCTGAACTGCGCTGCATACTTGAAATGCTGAAGCTCCACATTGTAAGTATTGGAAGGCAGTATACGCAGAATCGATTCCACCCGTTGCTGAAAGCATTCAGAAATTATTTCAATTACAAAAATTATCAAACTATCCATGATATGCAATGATTGAACTAGTTTTCAGAAAAGTACTGCTTGTTGCCCCAGATAAAACAACATTCAATGAAATGAAATGACAATCGACAAAACTTTATTGATGACTGATCAGAACGACGCGATGCATCAATTCGATATGCCTGAACCAATATTGAGACCTTCAGTACTTTTTTTTTCCAAAGACTCATCAAACAAGTGTTTTTGTACTATTCAATGGAATTGTAGCTACATGTAGGTAATGATATTTTTTTAACCAATATCAGTGACTGGCGATATCGCTCACAGGACCACATCCTGGTTCTCCACCAAAGGAAATGTTATATGAGGATGTTGAAACATCACAGAATCCAATGTATGCTTTTCCAGGAAAATAATTGATTTCGAACGATTTTCTAGATATTCATCCATAAGTGATTGAAAGTAGTTGCATTAGAAGCAATCGTTTGTGAGGTAGAGCCGTTTGCAAATAATATAATTTGAATAAGAAATTAAGTTGACTTGGTCCTTGTTCATAAGGTGAACAATTCATTCACAACTTTTAGTAAAAGTTTTTTTTTGATTTTCAATCGCTAGAGAAAACAATAAGATGTTTGTTGTTCATCAGATACCCTTGGCAGGAAGGAACCCCTTCTGAAATCTTAAATAGTGAAAAATTTGAAATATCAAATTGAAGAACATTCAAGTATACAATTCGTTAAAACTCTCATACCATGAACTCTTGAGGTCATCCAAATCAAAAACAAAATTATGTATCAGAAAATTTTGTAGTCAACCACTCCAGAATGGTTTTTCCAGCAAAAGGTGATTTACTAGGAAAATAATTCAATTACGCTATCCTTGATTCTGCCATCTGTCTTTTTATATATCAACAGTTATTTTTTCTCATATCTAGAGGTCTTGAGGTTTCACCCACATATCCACAAAAACAAGATATATTGTAAATACATATTCTCTATTGATTTAGCTTTCATTTTTCAGATTATGGAAGGTTACAAACCCAAAAAATAGTAGAAAGTATTGAATCCTCCACAAAAAAATGTCATTCAAAGAATAACTAAAAAGTAGTTTTACTTCATCTGATCATATTTCGAATACACTCCAGAAGCAAATTGAACTTTTCGTGATTAATAGTCTCATTAGTGGTTCAAATTAAACGCAATCATAATATACAGAAAGATAAGACTTACATTAATATACTTTCCAAATGATTCAACAAATATTCGAAATTCTATGAATGAAGATTTTGAAAAATTATATTTTTCTATATCTATTATTAATCTATATTTATTAATAATATAGCACTCTCGCTATGAGATATCTCTCACGCAACAAAATTCAACTTCCAAAGCGGCGTTGTAATACAAGTGAGACTAAAATTCACAAGAGTCCTGAATGGCAAGGGTTTAAATAGGTTTAAGTCTTTGGCGAGTGTTTGCAAGACCTTCGACAAGTGCAACCACACGCGAGGGCAATATATTGCTATTATTTACTTGAGAATTGACTTTCTTTTGATTATTTTTAAATACATGCGTAAGTTTGAAAATGTGTGACGTCATATCAGGGGAGGTTCTAAAAACGTGATAACCTGTGACAAGAACCACGGGGACCTAAAAGTTCTGAAATTCGTATGACGTAATTTACGGATGTGAATCACTTATTGTGATCTTTCAAAAAATTTTCTGTTCATTTTGATTTATCGTACATTGATTTTTTCCAATATACTCTGTAATAGTTCCTTGAAAAAATAAGAAGTATTATTATAAATACCTAATATCGGGAAGCTTGGAAACTTTTTGGCAATAGCTGAGACAGCCCTGAGACCGACAGGCCTAGTTGCGTTTCCACTAACTCCTCCATAGGTAGTCCTTTTATCCATTCCAACTGAAGGCCACGCCGTTGAATCTGGATTGATGTGCATCAGTCCAGATATGGTATTAATTGCTGTTACTCCAGAAGCTCCACCTATAAGAAAAAAAATTAAACAAGTACCAAACACACATACAGTTTTTTATTTCACATTGGAGTGTATCCAAAATGAAAATCAACATTTCAGTTTTGTTACATTTTTGGTTCAGTTATATTGCCTTAACCATACAAATTTATCTTTTTTTTCAGATATACCTGATATTCAGTTATACCTATAAAAAGCTACAGACTCTTGCCGTTTCCTTGATGTGAGGTGAAGCTGCAAGAAGAGCACACTAATTCAATAGCGCCTTCGAAGGTAATATTTACGCTGATTGGCGGATGAACAAGTTGAAGTTCTTGATTCTTAGAATTTGGCGTGAAATGAATCCATTGACAAGACTTCTCCTACACCAGAAAAAATATACTGTCTCTCGACGCGCATGACTGTGCGTTCTAATACCTAATCTTCATCTGAATTTCACTAGTTCGGACTTCCATTGTCTAAGTCTACTATATAAAATGATTTGAAATCCCTGAAACAACTAAAAAGAAGAATTAAAAATAAATAGCTGAAAATAACAATTACATTAAACAAAAAAACCTGAAATGAAATAATACTGAAATAAAATATAAGTAAAAATAGAACAATTGAACAAAAATGGAAAATAAAGAATTACAAAATGGAAATAAAGATAAAAATAAAAAAGGTTAGGAGATTTCAAGCCAAGTTAGTTCATGACGTTTCGATTGTTATTATTCACAATCGTCTTCGGGTGATGACTGGACTGGTTCCTCCAAGAGATGACTATTTATGGGTCGTTCGAGTACTTTCACTTATCCCCGCTTTCCATATTTTCCGCTTCACTGGTTCTGTGGGAGATGACCGTTTGGCGGAAGTTGGCCATTTTTCGCTTGATGATGGGTTTCCATATGTTGCGTATTTCTACGCTAGCTTGGCTGAATACGTTGTTGGACAACATGTATGCGGCTTCCTCGAATTTTCTCCTGAACCAATGTTCCTCTCTGTGTGAGATCTCAGCTTGGGACTCCTCGATGTAGTGTTGATGGGTCCAAACATGGTCTGCTATTCTCAGGTTTCTCCTCGCTGTGTGTGTTTATTTTGCTTGGCAATGCGAACATTCAGAGCCCGAAAGCACGGTCTAATAGAGTCTTGATGATTCCTCTTTTAGTTGATTAATGGTGGTTAGATTCGTGGTTCAGATACTGTCTCTTGTGAGTAGGTTTTCGGTATACAGATGTTTCCCACTTAGTGTCGGTCCTCTTCACCAAAACATCTAAGAATGCCAATTCGTTGTGGATTTCCTACTCCATTGTGAAAGTGATGAAAGGTCTCACGCTGTTGATGTCTTTCAGGAAGGCGTCTAGTTCAGTATTCCTATGGTTCCATAGTATAAAAATGTCGTTAACATATCTCAACCAGACTCTAGGTTTCTCGTGGGCTTCTTCAATGGTCAGAGTTTCAAACAACTCCATATATATGGCAGTCCCTCATCTTATGTAAAGAATTCGTCCTTCAGTTGGAAATAACAGTTTCGTACACAGCATTCCATAATTACTTCTATAGGTAGATTCGTTCTCTCTTTCAGGTTCCCGTCTTCGGATAGCTTTCTCTGTATGATTTGGAGTGCTTCTCCGACCGGAACGTTGGTGTAAAGGCTTTCCACGTTGAAACTAATTAGTTGATATTCCTGTGTGACTTCGATTGACCCTAGTAGTTCGACAAAATGCCTTGAATTCTTCACAAAAGTCGATGTTTTTCCTTGTAATGGTTGTATTATGGAAAGTAAAAATCTAGACAAGTTTTACTAGGATGCTGTGTACGAAACTGTTATTTCCAACTGGAGGACGAATTCTTTACAAAAGATGAGGGACTGCCAATGGGATCGCCACTTTCGCCAGTCATAGCCAACATATATATGTTTGAAACTCTGGCCATTGAAGAAGCCCACAAGAAACCTCGAGTCTGGTTGAGATATGCTAACGACACTTTTATAATATGGAACCATAAGAATACTGAACTAGACGCCTTCCTAAAACACATTAACAGCGTGAGACCTTCCATCACTTCCACAATGGAGAAGGAAATCCACAACAAATTGCCATTTTTAGACGTTTTGGTGAAGAGGACCGACACTAAGTGGGAAACATCTGTGTACTGGAAACCCACTCACACTGGACAGTATCTGAACCACAAATCCAACCACCATCAATCATCTGAAAAAGGAATCATCGAAACTCTATTATAACGTGCTTTCGGGCTCTGTAACACGAAGGAAGGTCTCGAGACGGAACTAGACATCATCAAAAATGATCTTCAACGGAATGGCTACTCCAAAGCGATGATAGAAAAGATTTTGGCTGAAAGACAGCAGGAGCCTAGCAAGGAACAGAAGTCGTCACAACCAGTGCTTTCACTTCCGTACATCAGAAGATTATAGGAGAGGATAAGCAGAATGGGTTCCAAGTACAACATCAGAACCTGCTTCAGATCCGATAACACTATCCGTAGCAGCCTCATGAAAACCAGGCCACCAAACACGGACTGCGATTCCAAGAATTGCATCTAGCGGATACCCTGTGAGTGCGGAAAATCCTATATTGGTGAAACTAAGAGGCCATTGAATGTTCGCATTGCCAAGCAAAATAAACACACACAGCGAGGAGAAACCTGAGAATAGCAGACCATGTTTGGACCCATCAACACTACATCGAGGAGTCCCAAGCTGAGATCTCACACAGAGAGGAACATTGGTTCAGGAGAAAATTCGAGGAAGCCGCATACATGTTGTCCAACAACGTATTCAGCCAAGCTAGCGTAGAAATACGCAACATATGGAAACCCATCATCAAGCGAAAAATGGCCAACTTCCGCCAAACGGTCATCTCCCACAGAACCAGTGAAGCGGAAAATATGGAAAGCGAGGATAAGTGAAAGTACTCGAACGACCCATAAATAGTCATCTCTTGGAGGAACCAGTCCAGTCATCACCCGAAGACGATTGTGAATAATAACAATCGGAACGTCATGAACTAACTTGGCTTGAAATCTCCTAACCTTTTTTATTCTTATCTTTATCTTCATTTTGTAATTCTTTATTTTCAATTTTTGTTCAATTGTTCTATTTTTACTTGTATTTTATTTCACTATTATTTCATTTCAGATTTTTTTTGCTTAATACAATTGTTATTCTCAGCTATTTATTTTCAATTCTTCTTTTTTTTTTAGTTGTTTCAAGTATTTCAAACCTCACAGATCATTTCGTAAAACCCAGACTTCCATTCCTGTCGTTTTGTCTTTCGTGTTGCCCAACACTTGTTGCGTATGAGCAGCTTTAAAAGACACTTTCATATTCAGTTCAACCTATCCGTTGGTGTCGTATTTGGTTCGTATTAAAGAACTGTAAATTTAGAGACTCCATATTTCTGAAAAGTTGAGGATTTACAACTACGACCATTGTCTAACAACAGAAAATGGCGGGACTAAATTTTCTTATCCACAGACTTGTCACGTTCACCTTGAGCAAGTAATCCTCGACTTTTTTGAAAAACAAATTATCATAGTCCAAAGTTTTTCTATACAAACCAAAAAAAAAACAAACGAATCAATTGAAAATTATGAAGAATTGAAAATGAAAGTGGCTTTCAAAACTGCTCGTACACTTCGAAAAATATCTTGGTCAAACTGATCGGACTATAATAACTTGCTACAAAGTACACGTTTCACATATTCGATTGCATGGACCAGAAAAATCTAATGTCGCTCAACATGCCATAGAGAACGATCATACCGGTTCCTACATGACAACCGCAAGTTTTTGACTGCCTTCGAAAATTTACAAATCGATAAATGTGGAAAGATCTATGAACGGCGACAAAGATATCATTCCTAACAGTCTTTTGCGTTTACTCTCTCCCACGTAATATATAGAAGGTATATGAAGCTGGGATGATTCTGCAACCATGTTAGGAATCACACGTTTAAAGGTAACACCTCGTTAGTCCTTAGCTCGTACAAGTTTCTCAACTTCCGAGAGTTGTCGTTTGTATAGGGGCGACAGCTGATTAACGAAAAAACAGATTTTAAACAGATTCTCAAACAAATGGTATCTATCAAATAGATATTGAAATTAGAAACAATAGAAATATACTAGAAATAATTTCAGTGACTTTCATTATGTGAGGAGGTGTATCGTTCAGATGCATATAAAACATCAACAGCAACAGCCGTAGAATTCAATCTAAGTCATCTCCTGATTATGCGAAACGCGCTTCGGGCGAGGTATTTTTATTCTGGTGTAGAAATTGTGGTTCGTTAATTTAGAATTCCAGCCTCAGGACTAAACTGTACAAGGTATATCAACGATGCCTGGTTGGCGATTCCTGCTTTTCTATGCGAGATTAATAACGCCCCGGATAAATGTTGCTGAAAATTTTCTAAAATTAACTACCGACATATGAAATATCCAAAAATATATTATATATCTGAACTAGTTGTTGCCCGCGGCTTCGCCCGCGTAGAATTTGGTTTGTCACGTTAAGTTTCGTGACAGACCATTTTAAACAAATAGTTGGTATATAGATAGATCATGACCTTGAACAACACATAGGGTAGGTTTCCACGGTAACGCGGGTAAAACAGCGACGAACAGCTAGTATTGTATATGTGGAACCCATTGATTGACTGACACTCTCATATTAATAAACGTACAGCTGAAGCTACTGAACCTAGAATCTTGAATTATACTGATTGTTTCTCTGTACAGCGTATAAAAGCACCAAAAACGAAAATCAAGAATTTTCACCTCCAAGGAGAAAAATAGGGGTTCAAAGATAGTATTGAATTTCGTCAGTTTTTAAGTTGGACACCGGAAGTTTTGGGTTAATAAAAAAATTATCGTAACTATTTGTTTGAAATGGTTTGTCACGAAACTTAATGTGAAAAACCAAATTTCACGAGGGTGAATCCTTGGGCAACAGCTAGTAATTTATATTTTCACTTTAAAAATACAGTAAAAAAAAATATGCCAACTGCCCTAAGTAATGAATAGCTTCGAGAATCGAATTATGTTACCTAGAAAGAAATTTTGCAAAACTAACACAACAGTCAACGACATCTGCCCTCACGCGTCTGCTCGCGTTGGGGCGCGCTTTCGGCGATGGCCCTTCATTGCTTAGACCGCCCCTCTACCCCCGCGCATCGTCACCCGTCGTCTCTCAGTAGATGCGACGCGTAATGGCTTACTGCTTTGCGTCAAGTTAATCTCATCGTGAAAACTTTCAAACGATTAGTTCAAAATACTCAGTATAAAAGACAAAATTTACCTACATCGAATGCTTAAAACGACAATTGTATCAATTTCTATAAGAATTTGACAGATATCCAAATCAATTGTATTTATGGCTCAGTATTTTGTATATAGTGGCTACTACATAAGAGGTCGATATGAGCTATCACGGACTTTTATGAAGAACTATTCAAGATAAACAATCTCTCGGTACATTATTTTCATGTAACTTTAACGGTATAGGCAGCGCACGCCAAGATAGCTCTCAAATAGCAAGAATTTTTCCGACTCACTTCATACTTATCGTTATATTATGACCAAAATCACATAAAACCTTTGTATATTGTAGGCTATATGTTATTCTGATGTATAAGCTGTATTTATATAAAGTTTCATCTATATGCGTTCAGTCGTTCAGGAGTGAAAGAGCCACAAACATACATACATACATTTATTCATCCTCACAAACTTTCATATTTATAATATTGGTATAGATTATATTTTTGAATGAAATATTTGGCGTCTTTTCGCATCGAACGTTCAAATTGAAAAAGGATTTTTTTAAATAATTTTGACTTTCTTCATTTCGAAAAAAATATTGGGAAACTTCCGAAGAAATAAAGAAAGAAATGTACTTCAATATAGACTCTTCTCAAAAATGTGTAGATCAGGCAGAGAAGTTTTTTCAGGTACAAACTGAAAGAAACACTACTTCCAGATTAACATTAAATAACACGAAAAAAAGTACTTTCGAAACCACTACTTTTATATGATCCTTGAATAACACGAAAATCTCATTTTCTGTTCTGTTTGTACACAAAACATTTGTTATGGAGTTGAAACAGATATCATTTATTGGAACGCTACACAACGTTGAATAAGAAAGAGTATTAATGTAAAATTTCACATATTTTCATGGATCACTATCATCGTTAAAAGTATACTTTTTGAAATTTTATGTTGAAAATACTCGTCATCAACTCTTCATTAGGACATTCTTGAACATTTAAAGACAAACATGCATTTATTACTCAAGATTGCGACTTCATGTCATCAAAACAGGCAATTCTGCTCTTGTTATATAAAATGACAATTCGTGAAAACAATCATACGGATAATAACCCGTATTTTCAGATCAAACGTAATAACGTTTTTATATTTCAGGAAACTTCGAATCAAACTTCTGTTGAAATATTCAAGAATTGATTAGAATTTCCAGGTGAAAAACCTCAGTTCCAAGTTAAAGTTAACAATGTTTTATTCAGAAATGTTTTCGTTTCGAATAATCCGCAATATTTTAGTTTTTGTACCTTCTTTTGCAGCCTCTGCCAATTCTGTGATGTCTGTAATATTAGGTGTTAGCTTAACGAAGAACGGTATTTTGACTGCATTTTTGACCCACTTGCATACATTCTTCAAAAGATCAGGTTTCTGCAAAAAATAAATAGTTATATAGATACAACTTCCTTCTATGGTATATCTCTGACTACTTTCGAAGTATAAAAACTATATTTCAACATTAAAATGTTTTCTATATTTTAATTTGGAAAAATACATCAAAATTTCAAAAATTCTACTCGAGTTTATCTAATTGTGCTCAAAGCTCACGTGAAAACACTTATGCTATTTTTTTATATGACATTATGACTCATTTGAAAGAGATAACATTGTTTTATTGACGAGTAGCTTCAGAAACTTTGACTTTTCCTGTATCTTCTTCGTTGAACTTTCTTCAAAAATTTGTTTTTCATCATGAATTGAAAAGGGTATATTTTTAGGAGAGAATGATTTTTAGATAAATTTTTGGCTTTCTAATTCTCCATATTTGAACAAAAAATGTAAACTCTTCACAAAGATGTGTAGAAAATGCGAAGGAGTAACTTTCAAATACAAAGTGAAAAAAAACGTTCTCTCCAGAAAATACACCCCTATCAATTTCTAAATTTCCATTTTATAAAACATAAAATTGCCTTAAACTTTCGAAGCAATTCATGATTGAAAACGAATTGTTGAATGAAACTTCAACGAATAAAATACAGAAATAGTCAAAGTTCATCATGAAACATTGTCAATCACCTTCAAACAAACACAACTCCACATGTTTTTTTAAAATCATGTTACCTCAGTGAGCTATTTTTTTTTGTAAACCAAACTCATCTTCAGAGTGATACAAGAGTATTCGTAGTTTGAATGAGAAACATTGTATTAGTGAATATTGAGAAGAAAGGAAATCAACCCGATATTTTCACAACTTTTGTTCATACATAATTGAAGAAGTCATTATATATCTATCTTCTGCCTGATGAAAAGAACTGTCGAGAACAAATTAAAAAACTTTTTCTATGAACAATTTTTTAAGTGGCACACTTTTCACCTGTCCAATTGCTAATCCCATTCCAGATTCACCAACACCATGTGGACAACTCAAATTCAACTCCAGCATATCAGCACCAGCTTTCTCAACTTTTTGAGTTATTTCTATCCAGTCTTCTTCGTTATAGGTAACCATGACACTACCAATTATGACCTTCAAAATGGAGAAATATATACTCAGTGTATTGAACTGAAGAAAGAATATACTCACTTTCTCTGGGAAGTCCTGTTTGAGTTCTCGAATACCTTGCAACCAGTAATTGAAGTATTTCTCAGAAATAACTTCGATGTTCAGAAAAGATCCCTGTTGGGGTCCGTAGTTTTCGCCAGATGTTGTTCCTCGAATTATTCTGGGAGATATATTAGTCACTGCATTCTGAAAAAAAAACGATAACTTTAGTTTTCATTAACTATTTTTCAAAATTTTTATCATATGGTACAATCGATAGCTTCTAGATATAGAGTTAGTAACAGATACCCATAGTTATCAGTCGATAGACAATAGTTATTCAGGAAATTGGGGTTCTCTAGTGAAGACATTTTCAAAATATCCAGATTTGGTGGAAAGTAAGCAAACAATTGTGAGTCAGCAGAAACTTTTTGAAAGTAACATCTGCCTGAATATATGAAATGTTTATTCCATTCGACTCTTAATGTTTCAGTGATTTCATTAAATATACTAAAGGCTATTAGAGAGTATCCATTACTATTGTATATTTCATTTCATCGAATTCGGTTCCACCTAAGAATAACGAAATTGAAACATTAAAAGAAAAATTAAAACAAAAAATATACTACAATGTATTTGAAATATCTATCGACTTTCGAGAAATATATCCAAAAATTCATCTCCTAAGCAGTACTTGCTTCGAATTTATTCTACGTCATTGAATATCAAGATTATATCAGAAATAGTCAAGTAACAAAATCAAAACTGCCAGGTCACAAACGGTGAATATCGAGTTCATCGTCAGCAAAAAAAACAACAAGATTCGTTGGATTTTTTTTAAGTTCTAAAGAGCGAAGTAGATTGTGGCCATGAAAATTCCAGATGAGTATCTGTATAATATCCTAGCTCTTTTTTGATAGGCATAATTGGTAGCCTCCCCATAAAATTTGAGGCTATTCATCGCAATCAATTAAAATATATTGACAAATAATTATGATTATTTTTTTCTAAAAATGCTTAGTTATCATCACTTTACCATTAATTTTTATTATAAATACATAATGTGCCCGAAAAAACACTCACTCATTCACTACGTAGTACGTACCACACTGTATCCTGCATCACCAAAACTCAACGCCCATAAACGAATAACGAATAAACCATCAACCCGAAATAATAAATGCCATACGTTGCAAGAGAGCCTCTGACCGCTTTGAAATACACAGGCTGCACGAGACCGATCCAACCAGCGATATACGTCCCGATTTGTAATTTCGGTTGCAGAAATTATAGCGTTAGAGGAGGCTAGCCTCCAGTTGGTATGACTGCGTTTGTTTTTTATTCAATTATTCGGACGGGATGCCGTGACGGACCGGGACTGAAAAATATTTCGGTAAATCGTTTTAATGTTTCTTGGTAATATTTGTTATTTGTGTATAAAACAGGCAGTATTGTATTATAGCAGTGCTTTTTAGTAATATTTTTAATGTGTTTTTAAAATGTTTTCTTTCAATTTCAAGGTGTTTTCAGGTTTTCACTTTTCGGTAAGTTTTTTTTTTTTCATTTATTATGGATAAGTTGGACCAAATTAAAAAATCTGACGATATAGTCGATTGGTTGCTGACAAATAATTTTAAGTCTTTATCTTATGATAATAAATTTCACATTATTAAAACTATGGAAAGGTCTCAACCAAATTTGGTTTCAATTAAAACGTCAGATAATCGACAAAATCGAGGATTTAATATTAGTTGGTACAATAAATGCAATTGGTTAACCGGCTCCATTGAACGAGAAAAACTTTTTTGTTGGCCCTGTATTTTATTTTCCGATCAAACCGAATACCAAACGTGGTCTAAAATAGGATACTCCAATTTAAAAAATTCACCTCATTTTACAGAAAGACATTTCAAATTTAAGGAGCATATATTTTCGTCTTGAAAATTAAAATTGTTTAGCAAACAAAATATAGCAACAGCTTTAAATACAGCTCAAAAAGAGGCCATAATTTCTTTTAATAATCAGGTTAGGGAAAATCAGTCGAATTTAAAAGGACTTATCGATATTATGATTTATTTGGGTTCCCAAGAATTAGCTTTTCGTGGACACGATGAAACCGAAGATTCGATTAATCGCGGCAATAACAAGGAACTTTTAATGTTATGGGACAAATATGATTCACAATTTGGCACTTTTTTAAATGGTAGCGTTTTAAGGGCACCTCAAAAACCATCCATAATCAGCTTATATACAGTGTGGCATATATTATTAAGGAAAATATAAGCAAGGAGATTGAAAGTGTTTCTTTTTTTGCATGGGAAATTGATGAAACTACCTATATTACCTGTACATCACAATATTCAATCATTTTTAGATATGTCAAAGATGGTAATGTAGTAGAACGTTTTATGGGTTTTCATGATGTTTCATCTGGGCGCACAGTTGAGGATCTGTTTAATTTTTTAATTCGTACATATGACACCTATAATTTTAGGCAAAAGTTGATTGCGCAAACCTATGGTTTACCAAAATGGTTTACAAACTAAAATGAAGTCCATAGCTCCTCATGAACTTTTTACGCATTGTCATCCCCATGTCCTAACTTCAGTATTAAGCAAAGCGTGCAACAACATAAAAAAAATCCGGCCTCCGGCGGGCTTTTCTGTGTGTATATAGCCTTTATGACTTTAGCCTCCCCTGTTCTCCAATGCACGAGCCGTCACTGGTTACTGATGAATAAAACATTTTTCTTTGTAAAAATACTTTGAGTTTACGCAGTAACTTATCGAGGTGAACTGAATAGATATCCCTTTTTACACCTCTATAAAGTTCCTTAAAACAATTTTCTTTGTTTTTTCAGATTGTGGAAGATGAAAACACCCAAAAAGTTCAAAAACCTAAAAAATCATTTTCGTTCTACATCCATTATTAACTTTTTCAGTGTCAATGATCGAGAATCAATACCACTTACCTTATCAAGTGTGAATGTTTTAGTCACAACAAAAGACCAGCCTTGCTCGAAACTCCTCCTGATCATAGCTGGAGTTGTAACTGGTGGGGCGGATGCTAACCCGAATGGGTTTTGAAATTTAACGCCACATATTTCCACAGATATATCGACTTCATCAATTTCTGTGTAGAATAAAGGCAACTTTGGTTTAGTCTCTTTCGGTAAACCCTATAAATATATGATTAATTTTAATCATCATAATGGAATCAAACCATTGGTAAAGTAAAAGTTAACGTACATTATGAAGTTTGCGACAGATGGAATTTTTTTAATTTCAAAAAAATCGCCAAAAGTCAGTGCATGTTCGATAACCATACTGTAGAATAGAATTCCATTGTATTTATATTTTTTCAGGTAACAGTCAACTTCATCTTTGTTGCTGCATTCAACATTTTCTTAATATATTACATTGAAGGTATATACAAGTATATTATTTATAATGATGATGTGCAAACAATTACAATGAAGAGAAAACAAAAACTGTTTGCATAGAAAAAAAATGCTGGAAGAACTTCAGAATTCAAAAAAACCCTAGAAAAATTAATACCACGCGTGTAGGTGAAATTGTGAAAAATTGTTCATTTCAAACTAGAGAATACTCATGATTTCAGATAAGATTTTTCTGTATGGGTCCAAGAAGAAATTGAAGAAATATGTTAATTCCATCGACATATTCTATTATATAACAAACGATGTTGTATCATCTCAATATTGAAGATATTGGACAACATGGCATTGCAAAATATTCACAATTTATGGTTCCAACATGATGAACGTGCTTTCCATTCCTATGGTGACATTTCTAAATGGATAATTAGGAAATTTGGTAATTCACAGATCCAAGATATCTTCCTCGTTCTCTGCAACATCAGAGGACTCAAAACCCAAATATAAACTCTGTGCACCAACATTTGCAAACAAGTAGTCCTCATGTTCTTGCACTCACAGAAACCAAAGTCAATGCTTCAACAAACCCCGTCAATTTTCTATATCTCGGCTGTGATTTCCACTCTCTATTCAAACAAAACTTTGAATTATGTATTTTTATCCAAAGCGATCTCTCCTGTCAACGAGAACAAATGCTGGAACCCCAAAACTGTGATGTTATGATGTTAAAATAATATCACAGAAGACCACTAAATTCATATGCTGCATTTATCGCCCACCAAGCGATACACCAAGCAAACAACATTGACTTTCTGCAATCCAATCATACTAGTGCCGAGATTTCGTTCATTCTTTAGTTCATTAAAAACGACGAAAACCAAGATAAATATATCTCAGGTCCATACCATCAACACACGAAGATATTTGGAAAGATTTTCAAGGAATTAAAATTGAAGGTGGTTTTTAAAACAAGTCATACCTCTTGAAGATGATCACTTGGTGATCGAAACACGGTTTAGTGTTGGTAAAAAAACTGCAATAATATTAATTACTACACCAAAGGTTCCAAACAGTACATCACAAGTAGATTTATGTTGAATGTCATCCGAAAACAAAATGTCATATACACTAATTTGTATCATTTATGAATACTATTCGAGACTCAATTTCTTCCACAGGATTATTCATTATACCGGCAACAGATTTTTCAATATCACCAGATATTCCCGTTTTTAAACTGTCTCTGCTTCTTCCTCTCTTCAATTCCCTTTGCTAGATTTTTCATACTCCCCCTTTCATTACTACTACACCTCATTTGAATTTTTCTACAAATCTTTTATGGGTAACAATGAAGGGCATTCTCTTTATCGTAGATATCTCCCTTCACAAAACTATTTCAGAAGGTTGACTACAAATTCTATTAAATTCATGTAAATCGTTTCCATAGTTAAACCTTTTTTCTATCTAGATTTCCAACATATCTTTAATATGGTGTACCAATGTTTCGTTTCATATTCTTAGTAATATAGAACAACATTTCTTCGAATGAAACATTTAATAATAAAACTTAGCAATGTTGTTTTGCGTTTCATATGGAGAGTTAGTTCCTCATGAAATACTGGGTGTAACTGAATGAGTGTAAAACATTCAAGAAGGTGATTCCTCATCGAAAAAAAGATAGGATCTTTCATATAAAGAAACTTCATTGGAGCATCCCTTGTTAAGAAACAGCCCCTTAAAGGGGGTACATAAAATTTGTATGACAATTTTTTTCAAACGCACTGTTACGCAAAGTTACAATATTGAAATCAATCTGACGTTTTGTACTACCAAAAAGACACCAGAAATTTATTTAGTTTACCCCATGGTTGTAAGGGGTGGAAAACGCAACCCCCAAAATTTATTTCCAATGTAACTTTTTGTCTTATTATTTGTTTATCATTTAAAAATTCATTTCCGATAGCTTGTTTCATTCTAAACCAAAAATGTTTCTTAGGTTTTTTGCCCAGAATGAACCAGTTCGCAGCAATTATTTTACGAACAACTACAGAGATACATCGTCATAAATGCGAACTGGATTTATTGTTATTTTGTAGTTAGTACCTGCATTAAATGATTGAAGGGTAATAAACAAAACTAATTTATCAATAACAAAACACACAACATGTAGAAATCATAGTAAATGTTCAATATGTCTACCTTCAGACATTACGCATGCGTCTAGACGTCGGCGCATCAAGCCACGTATTCGCTCAAATATTCCTGGAGTCTCTCTGATTACCCTGCACACATCGATGATGCGGTTTCTTAAGTCCTCTACATCGCGAACAGGAGTACGATAAACCAAATGCTGTAAATGGCCCCAAATAGAGGAACCGAGAGGATTGAGATCCGGAAATCGAGCGGGCCAGTTCTGTGGTCCTCCTCGACCTATCCACTGATTTGCATATGTTTCAGTGTAATGCTGACGTGCTACTTGACTGAAATGGGCGTGAGCCCCATCATGCATAGAAAACATTTCCCTTCTGACGGCCAAAGGAACTTCTTCCAACAGTACTGGATGCATTTCTTTTAAAAATTGAACGTATGCCTCACCATTCAATCGAAGAGGTAGGAAATGAGGCCCAATTAAATCATCCCCAATTTTTCCGAGCCACACGTTAAGAGAAAACTGTTCTTGATGGTTAGTTTCGACAATAGCGTGAGGGTTTTCATCGCCCATATGTGATAATTATGAAAATGAATAATCTGGTCCCGAGAAAAACTACATTCGTCTGTGAATTATATCGTCTTCAGAAACTCACAATTTCTTCTAATCATTTCTAGCATCCAATTGCAAAATTCAAGACGGTTCGGAAAGTCTCGCGGTAACAGTGCCTGTACTCTTTGCAGATGGTAAGGGTATAAAAGTTGTTCCTTTAAAATTCGAAATACCATCATATGATCAACATTTAGCTGGAAAGCAATCTTTCTAGTACTGGTAGTAGGTTGTTCTTCAATCAAATTAAGTACTGCTTCCTCGAGCTGCCAACCACAATCTTCAACCATATCCTCGTAATCGAGCAAATATTCTATCTGAAGGATGCTGCCGTTGAGGATACATTTCTGCATATCTTCTAGAAGCTTCTAATCCATTCTCCTCCGACAGATCGTAAACGTAATGCAAATCAGCCATTTCCTCATTTGTGTATGCCATTTTAATAACAAGTGAATTATTAAAGTAACAAATTAAGAACAGAACAACAACACACAATTAGTATTGATTCCATTTCGAAAATTCACAAACTGACAGCGTCGTACCAATTTAATTGGTATGACGCTGTCTACTAGATAGATTAGTTTCGAATTTTCGCATTTATGACGATGTATCTCTGTAGTTGTTCCTAAAATAATATTTTGCTACGAACTGGTTTATTTTAGGTAACAAACCCAAGAGACATTTTTTGTTTAGAATGAAACAAGCTATCTTAAATGAATTTCTGAATGGTAAACAAATAATAAGACAAAAAGTTACATTGGAAATAAATTTTAGGGATTGCGTTTTCCACCCCTTACAACCATGGGGTAAACCAAATAAATTTCTGGCTAAGTGTCTTTTTGGTAGTACAAAACGTCAGGTTAATTTCACTATTGTAACTTTTTTAGTGCTTGTGAAAAAAATTATCATACAAATTTTATGTACCCCCTTTAAGGGGCTGTATTTTAACAAGGGATGCTCCAATAAAATTTCTTTATATGAAAGAGCGTATCTTTTTTTGATGAGGAATCACCTCCTTAAATGTTTTACAGTTATTTAGTTACACCCTATATAAAGGCACCACATCAAAAATTAATTTTTTTGACCTTGTCATTGAAATGGCAGAAAAACTGACAAAAAACTTCTCTTCAAATATACAAGTGAACTTTACTCCAAATATCATTATATTACCTCAAAAGCACAGTGTATGTACCAAGCTGCTATTTTACCATCATTTACGGATTCTACCGTAGTCTGGGCAACTCCGGCAATATCTCCTCCACACCAAACGGAAGTATGGGAAGATTGCATTGTGATTGGGTCTACCACTGGTAAATTATCTTCATTCAGTTTCAGGGGTTTTAAAGCATCAATCACTGAAATAACCATGTGAATGTATTAAGAGGGCTTGGATAGGTATAGAAATTTTTTTATATAAATTTGGGTGATACCACCGATATTCGAAGATAATTCATCATTATAATAAAATTGAAGTTGATGTTCTAAATGAAAATAATTGAAAATAATCAAGGTACATATTTACAAAATTTCAACTTTTTTTAACAATCATGTCGAAATTCCATTGGAAAATCCAGATTTTGTAGAAATTGAAATAATAAATAAAATGAAAAATTAAATTAAAATCATTTACTTTCTTCATCTTCCAATCCTGAACCAAAAGCAGAAATGAGGAAATTCGCCTTTATCGTATTCAACTGTTCATTATCTTGAAACCATTTTCCATCTTCAGTTTGTTCATTTCTACAGAAAGTTACTGAATGAATTTTTCCATTTTTTATTTGTACTGAATGTGGTGTCAAGAAACCAACCAATTCACATTTCTCTTCAACTGCAACTGAAACCTGAAATAGTATAGAATTATTAATATTATCAAGTGAAATATGAAAACCACCATTATTTTCCAATTATAAATGAAGTTGAGTTTTGTGTCCCTACCGTAAAATTTCCTACTTTTTTTCACAACTCATGGAAAAATTAAGAATAATAATGATCGAAATCACTTGGTAAGTAACCTTAAAAAATAATTAAAAAAAACTAATCAATACTGCTTATTGTATGATTTTCACTATAAAGAAAGGGTTTTACACAAACCGGGACACGTGTTTCGCTTTACAACAGCGTAAAATTTATGCTTGAGGAAACTATTGTATAGTGAAACACGTGTCGCGGTTTTTGTAAAACCCTTCATAGTAAAAATCATACAATAAACTGTATTAATTAGTTTTAATATGGACTGCCATCAAGTATCGGCCAGTTCTATTCAATTCTTAGAAAATAATTCTACCATGGCAATTCCTAAACGAACATCCACTACTTCAGTTTAGTAGAATTTTTTTGACAAATATTCGAGATTGCTCAATATTTTCATGTTGAAAATTGTTCTTCAATCAATGAATACTTTCCGACAGTGAAGGACTGAATATTCGTCAATGTACGGGATACTCAATAAAACCGTGACGTGGCAAACAATAACAGTCATTACGTTATCAAGATTGAATCTTCCAAACGAAACTGTAATTACATAAATTTCTCCTTATCGTAATACTAACCAGAAGGGTCGATAACCTAAAATATGTAATTACTTTCAGCGATTTTCTACTAACTAAAATAATTGATCAGATAAATTGTACTCAAAAACACTTGAAATGTTGACAGTGGCATACGGTGGTAGTACTGTTAGTAAGAAAAATGTTCACAAGTAGTACAATATTTTCACATACGGTCGAGAATGTGAATGACGACGCTCGCCCTGGACGCCCCAGCATATCAACAACCGATGGAAATATTGATTATGGAAAATCGTCGAATCACTATTAGAGAAGTTGTTGAGGATGTCGGCTATCGATTGGATCATGCCATGCAATTTTTTCGGCAATTTTGGTCATGAAGCATGTGGCAACGGACTTCGTTCCAAAATTTCTGAATCTTGTCCATGAAAACCGTCGCATGAGCATCATTCAGAAATTGTTGAAAGACATCATCGGCGATCCAGATTTGCTTGAATGGGTATATGATTATAGTTATGACATCGAAACAAAAGTCCAATTGTTCCAATGGAAGAGCCCAGTAGAGCCAAGAGCGAAAGAAAGCGCACACTGCTTTCGTAGTGGCGTAGTGTATCAGGAGTTTTTGCCACACGGTCGTACGATTAATAAGGACTATTATCTTGAAGTTTTGCGCCCTTGCCAGAAGCAATAGGAAGAAAACGTACGCACAGTAATGCACCTACTCACTCGTCATTGCTTGTTCGTAAATTTTTGGCCAGTCTCAGCCACCGTATTCACCAGATTTGTCCCCCTGCGACTTTTCATCTTTCCATACCTATAACTTTAGTCTTTCATCTCCAACGTGTAATGGAAGTTGAATGTAACATTCACTGTATGTATAACAAGTCATTATGAATGCTATGAAATACTGATTTTTTCAAGAAATAGAAGATAGGCTTTCAAGAACTATAGAAAGTCATGCACCATCATGCGATGTTCGAATTCTGTCGAATTAATAATATATCTTATGGAAAAAGAAACTAATTAATAAACTTTATTGTATGATTTCCAAATATAGCGTTTTACAAAAACCGAGATAAGTTTTTCGCTAGTCAATAGCTTTCTCAAGCATAATGAAACTTTGTCAATCATAAACAATCAAATTCGTTACAAACGTTATATGAGTTTCATGAACATCAATTTGAAATTCTCACCTCTTCTGGTACCGCCCTTATATTAGTGAATCCTCTCCTGAATACAACGAATACTTTCTTAGCACCACATCTCAAAGCAGAAGTTGCACAGTCAAAGGCAGTATCTCCGGCGCCCAGAACTATCACTGTACCATATAATTTGGGAAGAACAGGCGTAGTTTGTTTACACAAGCAACTTCCACTTGTAAGGTTTTTACTGGCTTCCGAAACTCGGTGTAAGAAGCTCTTGGATGTATAAAATCCCATTTCCACTGTGAGATCCTTGAAAATAGGATCAATTTTTGGCTGGGGCAGACCGATTCCTATAAATACTGCTTTCGAGTCTTTAAGTATATTTTCTATCGTGAGATCTTTGGTGGAAAGGGACCTGTTTGTTAATATTTTCACTCCTAGATCTTTCACCAATCCAATTTCGTAATCCACAGTTGTGATGGGTAGTCGGTATTGAGGAATTTCGGTGGCACTAAAACAATGAGAAAATCGGTGCTTAACTGAAGTTGTTTGAGATCAGAAGTCTTTTAAACTATGAAAATTGAGAAATGAAAATTTCTTTGTTTTTTATCAATTCAATTTGTAAATAAAGTTACTGTAGTTTCGTCATATAATGACATTTTCAAACTTATACATTAAACAAAAAATGAACGATAATTTTACCCTTTATATAATACCACTGTATAAGTAATAACATAGGTACTTAACTTAATTGAGTACCTGCATTATTTTTACCTGTGAGTACGCTAATTTGAAAACCGGTGGGTAAACTAAATCGATTTAATCATTCACCAGGTTACAGCCCAACCCTTGATTGCATAGTGCAAAATTTCCGTATCGTTTAGATTCGGGAACTTGTGGTTGCATCCCAAGCAATGGTTTGAAAACGTCGAATCATTTTTACCTAGTCTGAAGGACCTTTCATGTTCAGCATACCGTTTTGAGAAATTTCGACCACATAAACACTATTACACTCCAGATTTCTTCAACTTGTTCAATGAATTCAAATGAATTACGAAAAGAACCGGTCCTAGGGCCGTACCCTGAGGTACGCCATATGAAACTGATTCTTTCGAACCCATAACTCCATTAACTTCGACACGCTATTTTTTACATGTTAGGAAGTTTCTGAACAAATCCAACATCACTCACCTCACACCAAGATGTTCCAATTTATATATCAAAAACTCGTACTAACCGTGTCGAAAGCTTTTGACAGATCTATAAAAACACCCAAACAACTTTTCTTGGTATCAGCAGCATTATATATCATACAAGTAAGCTTTGCAATGGCGCCTTGGGTGCTTTTGCTTTCACGAAAACCATGTTGTGTTTTCGAAATAATGCTATTTTGGTTCAAATAAGTACTTCACTCATATTTTTTTGATTATTTTTTTGAATAATTTGGTAAAGGAGAAGTTCAGGATATTGGTCGATAATTTCATACATTTGTTCTTTCTCCTCCTTTGTACAAGGTTTGATAGTTAGCAGTTTTAAAATGCTCTGGTACTTCATGTATCCATACATGAATTAAATATATAGGAAAGTGGTTCAGACACATAATCAAATGAAAGTTTGATAATTTCATTTTTTATTTTGACCGGTCCATTTTCATTTTTTAGGTTCAAAGCCCTCATTTCCTCTCTATCATATATGGATTTGTAATTTTTTCTTTTAATTGCTGTCCTACATGTGAAAAATTTGATTTTAATGATACCTTTGTGTTTATTTCGATAATTATTCTTTTCTATTTTTTTTTCAGATTTCACGATATCTGAATTGAAAAAGTCCTGGTTAGTTTTTGCAATTAATTTGTTCAGATTGTTTCTATAACCAACTATTTTTTTGTCGTTATCTAACGGATTTTTTATGTACATATGAAATGATTTATCACGTGTTTTTATTGAATTTATTAGGCCCTGAGATATTCATGGTTTTCATTTTCTCATTTTTTCCAAGTAAATGTTGTTGTCGCGGATTTGTTTAAACTCTCATATATGTTATATAATATATCAATAGCTTTATTTGAATCTGAGTTTACATATATTTCATCCGAACATTGATTTTCTGATAGCAGTATTAATTTTTGTTCGTCCAGTTTTTTGTGAACATTTTGGCATAGATGATTTTCCTTCTCTTCAATACTACTAATATAACTAATACTGGAAAATGATCTGTTATTGCTACTTTATGTAGGGCTGAATATAAATAATGAATGTCATTACTTTTGATGAATTGATGGATGTAGCCGTTAACGTGGTAGGAGATCATATTGAAAAATGAAATTTTCTATGTTTTTTACCACTTTCATTTGTAAGTAACGTTACTGCCGTTTCGCGCTATGAAAACATTTTCAAACTTATACATTAAACTAAAAATGATTGATTATATTAGCCCTCATATAACACTACTGTAGGTAATAACAGATGTACTTAATTTAATTGAGTACCTGCAGGTTACAACCGCAATGAGTTGCCAACCTTTGCATAGTGCAAAATTTCTGTATCGTTTACATTCGGGAACTTGAGGTTGCATCTCAAGGAATGGTTTGAAAACTTCGAATCATTTTTATCTAGTCTGAAGGACCTTTCATGTTCAACATACCGTTTTGAGAAATTTCGACCACATTGTCCCATATAAACACTATTACACTCCGGACACTTAAGCTTATAAACTCCAGATTTCTCCAACTTATCCACTTTATATTTGGCATTGAATAGGAAATCAGATAACCTGACATGTGATCTGAATGCCATTTCCACATTGTTTTTTTCTGAAGAAACCTGCAATTATTTCTGTTCTTTTACCAAAATATGTTAGAATTACCCATTTCTTGATTTCTGATTGTTTGATCTGGGGGTATATTAATCTGTAAGTGAATTTACGGCTTTGTTTTCTGACTAACTTCTGGATTGTATCTGCTTGGAGACCATTATTATGACCTATCTGTGTAATTATATCAATTTCCCTAGCTAGATTGTTAGCGGACGAAGGTAGTGAGAATGCTCTGTGCAACATTGAATTGTAGGCTGCTAATTTATGACTCTCAGGATGGAAAGAATCATTTAGGATTGTAATGCCTGAATAGCTCGACTTTCTGAATACATTGAACTCAAATTCATTCTGATTGTGTGTAATGGTCAGGTCTAAAATATAAATCTATTTCTCTATCTCTGTTTCAAATGTGAACTGTATGTTTCTATCGAGATTATTCATGAATGTCATAAATTGGTTCAGCTGTCGTGTAGTACCTGTGAAACAAGCAAGAATATTGTCTACATATCTATACCAAAAATGAATATGTTTTTACCCAGGTCGGAATTTACTATAGTGATCTCCAAGCTGTTCATAAATATGTCTGCTAAAAGTGGACTAAGAGGTGAGCCCATTGGTAAACCTGAATTTTTTTTATGAAATTTGTTGTTGAAATAATTCGTAATTTTCTATGAAAAAATACCACATTCTTTTGTATAAAGATGGAAAAATAGTCAGTCAAAACCTTTACCTTCCCAAAATATCAACCCCTTCTAGAAATATACACCTTTCAATTCAAACTTTTTAAATACAACACAAATAAAGATCAATTTCATCACAAAATAGCACAGATAATCAAGTATAATACTTATATTTAAGATGCATTTCTTCACACAGTAGGTTTAATTTATCGTGAAAATTCTATAATTATTATCACGTATATAGATTTTTTTAAACGGAAACATTAACTGAATCATTGAAAAATGAATTTTTCCAAATATCCCATTCATTTTGTTTTCTTATTGATAAAAAATACATGAACATATTTTTTCAACTTTTCATTCAACTAATATTCAAAAATTGATGACATCGAGGGAGAAATCTTTTTCATTTCTATTATATAAAGACTCATTCGTTAATTATCTATTTATTTTGCGCGAAAATATTAATATTAAGAACTTATATTTGGTGAAAACCATTAATCTTCCCAAATCATCCATCACATTTTTATACATTTCGTTGCTATTTGAAAAAGTCTCGTATGAAAGTTATTTGTTGTACAAGAAATTGTTCATCTGGCGGTTATTTCATGTTGAAACCCCATATGTCAAAAATTTATAATTTTTCAAGAAAAAAAAGTAAAAGAGGAAGTAGATGCTGTGTTTTGAGTATCATATGTTTCCGAAACCAGTGAATGATCAATAGACGGGCTCTTAAGATGAGTCCAATTGCGGTATGTACTATGCTTACTACGGTTTTTTTTATCATGCGAGTAAGTGTATTTTGGCATTGAGCAAGCATCACTTGAGTAATGAAATATTGTAGTTTGACACCGTAACAATTATTGGTTTTAAATATTATACCCCAAATATCCCCAACCATAAGTTTATGCATCAATCTCTTGAAAAAACTCTTGAATATTGTGGATGTGGTCTCTATATGGAATGTTCAAAAGGTATCGAACGAAGCCATATTTTCAATATTAGTCATGAGATATATATTTTATACCTTTTATCTGAGTTATAAATATATTTCACCTGCGTTTTTGTATGTCAGTCAGACAATTTCAAAGAAAGGATTGTATACTGTTTCAATAAATATTTGCAAGATACCCTCATTCCAACTTCAGAAGTATATTCCATTACACCTTTTTTAAGAACAATAAAATAAGTAAAACATTTTTTTAATTAAACAGTTTAATTGAAAAAATGTACTGAAATGTAAAAAATAATTCGTAAGGTCCTAGATAGCAGTCATCATACCACTCTTCTCAGCAATCTATGATATTTAATTTTTATCTGATCAATACCGTAGATTGCTGAGGAGAGTGGTGAGTTTTTCAATAAAACCATTTAACATAAACACTTTTTTTACTCATTTTATTTTCAAATTTTCAGTTTATAATTTTTATCCACCCTAATGCCACACAGTTCTTGGCAGGTTTTGACCTTTTACCTTAACTTGGGTGGGGTATCGCTAATGACCTATCATTTCTAGCCACCCTAACGCCACCCAGTCCTCGACACGATAGAATCGGGATAGAAGCATGAATCGCCCACCCAAGTCAAGATTTTTTTCAAGTTCTTTGTATAGATTATATCGGATTTGCATCTTTTTCATAGTGTACTTGTCAAGCCCTTTCGTTCTGATACCCATATTGGGGTAGTTGTAAAAAATATATAATCTGCCATTTTGTAGCTGTGGCCATCTGAAATTTACAATGGTACAGATTTCATTAAATTGTATTGTCTTCAAAACTAAATGTGTGTACCAAATATCTGATCAATCTGTCAACAGGAAAGAAGTCGAACTTCAATTACTAAAAAAAAACTAATCAATACTGTTTATTGTATGATTTTCACTATAAAAGGGTTTTACAAAAACATACAATAAACTGTATTGATTAGTTTTTTTAATATGGATTTTCATCAAGTATCGGCCAGGTCTATTCAATTATTCAATTAATAAATTTGACCCATATGAATGAATAAATAAACATAAACAAACGAACAGGGCAAGCTAAATAGAACAGTTTGAAAAATAGAGATGAATGAGCGTCTATTGGATATAACATAGACACATGTGATATAATTGGCAAAGTACACCATTTTTTCAGTTTATTTACCCACTTAATTTGATACTATATGTGTGTAGCATAGCAACTCAAAGATTACTGACATGGCCTTGAAAATTGATTCAAGTGATCCATTATTTACTGAGAGAAATTCATTTGATCAGATAAATACATGGTATCAGTTTCTAAGTTCATCTGGTAATGTACAATCAAGTGATGAAATATTAGTTTTTGTAATAATGAAAGAACTGTTTTGAATACCACTTCTGAACAGTTCAATATCATAGTAATTCTATGATACCTTTTTTTTGTATCATCACAAAAATCGTATTGTGAAATCTATTTTCGTGCTCACGTTCACTTGATAATTGAAATATAAAATAAATAAAACAAGCCCAAGTATTGATCTTTATGGTACAGTACATTTATTTATTGATGTGGCCGATATCTAAGATAGTATAGTTCTCACATTCGGGGTTATATATCTCAAATCAGTCTTATCCGCCCATTTTCCACCCTCAGATAAGAAATGAAGAATATCTCTATAAATTTGACACTTCTCATTTCTCACAACGAATTCAATAGATAGATAGATGGTTCATTAATAGTTTAGGTGTACATTCATCGTTCATTTAGAAAGCACAAATAATATTCGTCAATTTCGTCATATTGTACTTATATAAAAAAAATATATTAGATACAATACAGATATTAAAACTATGTTATTAAAATATACAGAATAATAAAATATTGTAAGTGTCAAAATAATATTTAAATATAAGTTTAAATAAAAGCATCAAAACATTTCAAAAAGAGAATGAAAATTTGCGACAATACAGTGTAAGTGTAAGTGATCTTAATGTGAAGTGATCTCAATACTGAACTGGTCTCTCATTTCACAGGTAACAGGGCAAGCGCATGATCCATATATTCCTTTATAGAGTACAAAGCGTTATCAGTTAAATAACTTTCCATGGTTTTTTTAAATTTGTGGGAATTTAGCTCTTTGACCCAAGAAGGTAGCAAGTTATAAAGATTAACATCGATTAAATTGTTCTTTGACCTTTGGAGTCTAAATTTGCTTGGTCTAATTAGTAGACGACTGCGGGTGCTGAATCTATGAAAGTCTGCATTTAATGCGTAATCGTTTTTCTTATTATGTATTTCCAATAAGGAGTGATATATATATAAATGCTAGGTAGAGTCATAACTTTCAAGGATGAGAAGAGGGGTTTACATGAATCTCTGTATCCCGCTCCAGAGATAATTCTTATTGCCTTTTTTGCATCATAAATACTTTATTAGAGTGGGCACTATTACCCCAGAGGATTGTGCAATACGATAACTGTGAATGGAAGAACGCATGATATGCGTTCTATTATGATATGTTAATAGAGCATGTGTACTGAGAATGTCTTTCAACTTTCTAAGCAAGAACAGGTATTTGGAAATTTTTAGGCAAAGTTATGTGAACAGACCAGCTCAACTTATCATCCAGATATACACCCAACAAATATGTGTTGGCATGTGAGGACACGTTAGCACTTAAGGAAAAGAAAATTGTTTGTGTTTTATTTTTATTTAACATTAAGTTATTGTTCTCAAACCAAGTTTCTGCTTTTCCTTGCGCATTTTTTATGTCCTTATCCAACTCAGTGGCAAGGTTATGAGAGTTTATGATGGTTGTGTTATCTGCAAATGCAATCCATCTATACCAAATCATATAGGTGAAGAGGTCATTTAGATAAATAATAAATAAAAGAGGACCCGACACTGAGGGGGCACTCCACATTCAATTTTTAACAGGTCTGATGTATTATTAGAATCCAAGGAAACACATTGTTGTCTGTTTGATAAGTAGGATTTAAAGAGATAGAGGGCAATCCCCCTTACTCCATAATCCAATTTATGAACCAGAATAGTATGCGACACACAGTCAAATGCCTTACTCAGGTCGCAAAGTGCAGCCGCAGCATGTTTTCTTTCCTCAAAATCATTTATAATACAGTCTACAACTTTTTTTAGAGCTTGTGTAGCTGAGGAAGACTTCATGAAACCATATCGGTTTGGATTGAATAGGTTATTATTAGAAAAATATGTATAAAGTCTATTTTTTAACAGAATTTCAATTTTTTTCCAAAGATAGGAATTATTGATATGTGTCTATAGTTTCCAATATCATCTTTACCTTCTTTCTTAAACATAGGAAGACCTCTAGCAATTTTGAATTCATCAGGAAACTGACCTTTCTCTATGCATGTATTGAATAAAAAGGTAAGAGGTTCTATGAAGTTTGAAGCAGTTTCTTTTATCAGTTTGCTATTCAAATTGTATATTTCAAATGAATTGGATTTTTTTAAATCTGAGATTGCATTAACAACCTCAGTGTATGTGATAGGTCCTAAGAAAAATGATCCAGCATTTTTTGGCTTGAGAATAGCAACACCGGTATATCAATATCGTAGACGAAGCGAAGACACTTCGCTGTATAGTGAAAAGCGTCTTGATTCAATTCTAAAGTGTGAAAATCGTATAATTATCTTAGCAGCCTCGCGTCAGCCTCTGCAGTTTTGCTTGACGTGTTTACACCCGTTTGGGTATTGTGTATTGAACACATGAACGAATAAAGAATATCTATCCATCTATCTAGCTGACATGAAGCTCTATAGTCATCTCGCGACTAGGATAAACTGAGTCGTTGAAAACTCCATACCGGCAGGTCAAGATCTGTTTTGACTGGATGGAAAACAACACATATCTGCGTTGAAATGTGAATACCATTTATTGCACCATCGCGATAAAACATGTGAATCTTTTCGAAACTCATGGGACTCTCATTCAATTTGGTGTCATCTGCATATTGGGATTTAGGTGATTCAATTATTTCCCATATATCATCCTAAATGTGAACCATAAACAACAGGAGACCCAAAGCGCAGCTCTGAGGTTATCCACTGCTTATTAGAGTTTAAGAGGGAGTCGACTCATTAACTCCAATTTACAACTAACTGCCATTATCAAATCGAGAAAAGGTTTTTATCGTGTTCGATAATTAGTTTTTTCAATGCATGTGCTGGATCAAGTTAACTAACATACATGTCAGACGATTAAGAAAACTCAATCGGTTGATATGATCTAGCAAAAAATCAAACTGGAATTAATATGTGAAAAACTGCCTTTTATTTGTACAAACACCTATAGAAAACAAATTAATTTCAGTACTCTTCGAGTCAAAAATGGAAATGTAACGTATGAATTGTTAAAATCTAGTGTATGGTGAGTCTCATCTACTCATGAGTATATCGCTTAATGAAAAAAGTAATTAAAAAAAAATATTGTCGAACGGTTTCATTGAAAAATGAAGATAATAGTGATGTAGATGATGTACTAAAAAATAATTCGGAAGGTCCTAGCAGTCATCATACTACTCTCCTCGGCAATCTACGGTATTGATCAAATGATAAAATCGTTAGGCGTAGAATCTACATATTCACTCAGGTTACGCTACACCTAACAATTCTATTATTATACCGTAGATTGCTGAAGAGAGTCGTATGATGACTGCTACCTAGGACCTTCAGAATTATTTTTCATTTTATAGTACATTATCAACATAATTTTTATTACTTATTTTATTTTCAAGTTTTTAGTTTTTAATTTTGTTACTCAATTCTTCTCATTCTCTTTAGGGTATCCAAAATAAAACCTTTCAAAAGCCTTATCTACTACTATACTAACTGTTATATGACATTATTACCTGAGTCCACCTAGAGTGTGTTTGTTCTCGTAAATTGTAATATTATCGTATCCCAATCGTCCCAGAAACGTTGCACACGAAAGTGAAGCTGGCCCTGCTCCGAAAAGTACTATTTTAGCATCTGGACATTTAGGTTTGGCGGTTTTCGGGTCTCTTATTTGTCTAACACCCATTTTACTGAATACCTGAAATGAATATCAAAAATATTATTAAGCAAAATCCAATCATATAAAAACTTGCCTCGGTTGCAAATTGCTGCAATCCTCCAATGTTAATAGGACCTTCTTCGGTAGCCTGAAGGTTGCATCCTCCAACGCAGAGGTCACTCGTAGGGCAAACCATTCCACAAGTAATACCCAAGGGATTATCAGAAAAAATTGCTTTAGCAGCTCCATAGTAATTCTAAAAGTTTCAAGAAATTTCAACGAACCTTATATATTTTTCAATTTTTTTATTTCTTCTACACAATGGAAGAAAAAAATGTATTATATTGTATTAAGGTAAATATGTTTACTATAAATATAAATATAGCTATAACCAAAACTATAACTATAACTATTTGTCAATATCAACATTTCTCACACAATGGAAAAAAAAAGTTTCATTCACGACATTTCAAGGGATTGGTTTTTTTTAAGTATTATGGTTTTAGTTTTACTAACTAATGCAAAAGTTTTTCAAATGGCCATATTTCTAAATTTATTCAGTTAATCCTTAATACCCTACATACTCTACCAAATACAACTTACCCTGTTAGCAATACTGGTTATGAATGATTTAATGTCAAGTTGTGTCGGGCAGGATTTCTGACAGGGTGCATCGGCACACTTGAGGCACCTCGAAGCCTCTCGAAGGGCTCCTCTTTCACTGAGTGTCGTGGATTTAACGTCAGAGAAGTTATTTTCGAGTGAAGGGCATTCCTGAAACAATCAAATCATTCATTCATAGACCAGGGTCGATAATTTTTAAAACGAAAAAAAGTAATAGTAGGATGAAACCCATTAGAAAAGGAGGAGAATATTATAAAAATGAAAGAAAAATAAATTACGGGAGATCTGAGTTCGGAAAGTGGGAGGGGGTGAGTTTTTGAGGGTAAAAAATGGTTTATCTTGATTTTCGGCAAAATAACAAGTCCTATGGAAAAAAGGTGAATGGCATAGTTGTAGCTAATAAAAAGGTCTTCAAGTTTCGTGTCAAATATTTTTTCACATAACCTCTGAATTTATGTGAAAAATTGAAATAACCAAGTTTTTTTTTGTTTTCTTTTATCTTTGTTTAAAAAAAAACATTTTCTACGAAATTTGTTGAAAACTCACCTTTTTATGTCCCAAATACACTGTAATTTATTTGATTCAGAATATTTATTGTTTCACCTTACTTTGACTCAATATCAAAAAAGCACCCTAAATTTCAATTGAAAATTCTCACGTAAAAAATCGAAAAAAGCTCGAATTCCAATTTTTTTGTATGATTGCTGCAATTTTATTCAGTTAAAAAGTTTACTTATGAAATTCTAATTACACTCATGTCATAGAAAATCCTATAAAATATAAATGTACATGTAAATCGTACTATTGGTTGTTCAAACGTTAAGAACACAATATTTTACTCTTGTTTTTGGCATTGTTTAGACAATGGTGTCATAATAACTCGGAATTTTTATGAGCGGCACAGGAATAATTTTTGAAGTATGATAAGTCAAATTAGTGTGTACCTTTTCCATGAACCCATTCCAACCATCGGATTTCTTGTTTGCAAATTTGGAATAAAACCATGTAAAATCTGCCGCAGAAATTTCATAGTTGTCCGTAACATCTAAAATATCTTCTATCAGATTTATCGGAATTTTTGTTTTCAAAACGTTTGAATTTCACAAATCCAATTTTGCCTATCTCTTCAGAACATGGAATCTGTTTTAATCTAGAGATGGTTTTCTTTGAAGTAACACTAGACGCCGGAATAAGAACCATTATTCCATCCATTGCATGAAAAGTATATTTGCCATCAATCGTGCATGTATTATAGTCCGCATTGTCATAAATGAGGGAGCTCTCCTGAAAATCCCTTTTTCATTTCATTGACAGAAAATTGATATTCTGTTTCGTTGGCAACGATATAATTTGTAAGACAATCAATAAAATTCTTTGTGTTTTCATATGCTGAGCGACCCCTTTTTTCTTTCATTTCTTTTGTTATAAAAAATAGCCATACAAACAGTGTGATAATGAACTTTTACTGCGACTAAATCAGGAACATTTATCAAACGAGCTGATCTTTTTATCGTAGTCATTCAATGTGTTTTGTTAATTATAGTAGTATATTTCAATTTGAAATTTTTCCGTTTGTAAATGTAACTTGGATTCTCACGTTTTTTGAGTGATTAAAGTGAAAAATTCAATAAATAGCTCAAAATTGTTTATAATGATTAAAAACACATTTTCGAATTCTAGTTTTTTCGATTTCTTGCATAATACTAATGTATATTTTTTTACAATATCGGAAAGTAGAGATTTCAACGAATAAAAAGCATATCGAGCATAACGCGGGAATTTTCGATTGAAAATTAGGGTGCTTTTTTGATATTAAGTCAAAATAAGGTGAAAAAATAAATATTCATTCAATTCACAGTGTATATGGAACATAAAAAGGTGAGTTTTTACCAAATTCCGTAGAATTTTTTTTTTGAAAAAGTTAAAAATAAAAAACCAAAAACTTTGTTATTTGCATTTTTTACATAAATTTTGGGATTATATGAAAAAAATTGTAAATACAAAAATTGTAGATCTTTTTATTGCCTACAACTTTGCCATTCAACTTTTTTCCAGAGGACTCAGATCGCCCGTAATTTATTTTTTATTTCATTTTTATCATATTCTCCTTCTTTTCTAATGGGTTTCATCCTACTGTTATTTTTTTTCACTTTCTAAAATTTTCGAAGCCTTCAGCCCTGGTCTATCATAGCATAATTTTAAAATTAATTTTAACAAATCGTAAACCAGTCATACTTAGAAAATCATAACCTGAACATACATAATGTCAGTTTTATGCAAATCATAAACAAAATAATCAAAAAATGAAATAACGGAGATAAATGATAAAAAAACTTCAAAAAAATAAAAACATACTACTTCAGGACGCCTGGAATGTTAATATCCACGGACGACTTAAGCAGCCACATACATGTGAACCTAGTTCGCCGAACTGGGTTTTACAAGAAATGAGAAGAAAAGATCGCAATGTTCCAAGCAGTGGCTTCGTGAGAAAAAGAAGTGGTCTCACCTCAATCTCTTATATCACCTTAGGGAGAACAGTGCGAAAGATTACACCAATTATGTAACAATGAAATGGGGCGATGAAAGAAATGAGGTCATAGTGCCATAATATGACAACCCTTATCCATTAGAGCGGTTGAGGTGAAACCCGTGAACGGTAACAGATCATCTCAAGATGCTCCACTGAAATATACAAACAAATAAAAATAGGTATTACCGCTAGATAAAAGGAAATATTCAAAATTTTCAATTAATAATTATATAGATGAGCAGCAGCGATCCTTTATATGCAAAAGTACAAACTATTGACTAAAACAGACAGTGAAATGTTATGCGAGCTATGAATCTCTGCAAATATTATCAAGTCAATAATACTTACACTACATTTATTGTCAGCATTTCTCTTCCAGTGAGCTTTGTTCTTCTTTGTGATACTGGAAGGAACAAAATTAGAATGGTCGCTGACCCTTGGATTCAAAGCCAGAATATTCTGAAACCCAAACAAAAATTCAAAATGAAAAAGTGCAAAACAATTATAGTTACTGGAAATTGATTTTGAATACAAATTAATTTATAATGTTGCACTTCAGTTTCGGAGTGTCGGTGAATCGAATCATGCAATATCCATCGAAAATTATATTATGAAACATTACATTTTGGATAATGGATTTCAAAAGAGAATTTCGAAATTCCCGCTTGTTCAATACATGTATCAATTCACGTGTCTGTTTTATCACTCATTTACATGTTTCAGTTTGCTGGCTCCAACAACGCATCCACGGCTCTTTCTGTTCTGAAATTGATAAACGACTTTCAGAGATTTTACTGGCAATATTGTGTCAAAAATCATAATATTATGTCAGTGTCAAAACTTCAAAAACTGTCCCAATGTTTTTGGTTGAGCAGCTATTCCAAAGAGATGTGAAAATAACAGCTGTTAGATTTAGAATGTATGTTTTTATCATTCCCTCTGTATAGAGATTTTCTATTTAGTTTATGTGATGTCTGATAATATTTTTAGTTGAATCAAGTTTGTTAGTAAGAAGATTTTGATGAAAGTTGCCAAATAAATAGAATTTAAAAACGTCAGTAAGAATTTATTTGATGATAAAATTATATCCATCCCATATTTAAAAACAGCATTATCTATAGATAAATAAAATGTGTTTCTTCTTTTCATGTTTTTATTTTAATCCTCAAACTAGGATATGTATGATGAGAATATAATGAGTAATGTTTCAGTTTGATAACACACTAATATGGCCGATACTGTACTTTGGTACTTTGAATCGGTTAGAGTCCTTACAGAACTCATGCTCACGACTGATCAAAAGAATCAGAAGACGAAAATATATATTGCATAATTTGGTAAGGTGTCAGCCACCCTACCGAGGATCACATGAAAACGCGACGTATATTAATAGTAAAAAATTCGTTATTTGAAGTAGTACTAGATCTATTCATCTCATAATGCTTCATGACACAGGTTGATATGTAGTCCCGTCACGTATAGTCTGGGAACTTCTGTCAAAGAACACCGAAAATTATGATCCAGGTTCATTTGATTTGGAATGACCTCTAGCAAATTTTTGAGAAATTTTAAGAGGGGTTCGAAAAAAAATGCAAAAGTTATAAACAATTCAGTAAAAAAGGGGGGTTTAGTTTTTGACAAATATCTCAGAAAATATTAAAGATATCCGAAATTTGAATAGAGATCTTTAAAAAGGAGAAAATTTACTAAAAAAAGTCCCACCTCCCGGAACTCTATCACCAATATTTATAATTTTAATTTAAAGACGAAAATAGCGCTAAAAACGGCGATGCCCGTCCCGCACGCGCTAACCAATACGGACCTTTGAACAATAAAAATTATTTTAATCATCAAACATCATTATTAAGAAAAAAATTCACTTGAATAAACGGAAATACATGGAAAAAAATTTTTTCCCGTGATTATTTTATTAGATATACTTTAATCAACTGATTTTTACAAGTTTTAAATTTACATAAAAACATAATTTTTATAAAAACCTCAAATTTTTTTCACTTTTTGGAGCTTTTCTTGAAAACCTTCTAAAAATATTTCCGTTGGAAAATGAATATTATGATTTTTAAAAACAAAATCGTTTCTTAAATAAATAGCGATGCGTGTCCCGCGCGGTAAATTTCCTCCTCTTTTAGGATCTTTTTTCAAATTTTTGATATCTTCAATATTATCCGAGATATTTGCAAAAAACCAAACCTTTCTTTTTTTTTACTAATTTTGTTAATAATTCTAAAATACAAATCTTGAAATTATAAAACAACAACAAAAATCAATTGGCGCTCCGGGGCGACTTCACTGATTCCAGAGGCGCATTTGCTTTTTCAGCTGCAGGAAAACCCGGAGAAACCTGTAGCAACATCATCTTTTGCAATTCATTCGAACCCCTCTTGAAATTTCTCAAAAAGTTGCTAGAGGTCATTCCGAATCGAATGAGCCCTGGATCATAATTTTCGGTGTCCTTGGACAGAAGTTCCAAAGAAGGATTTCGAGATCCAGACTAGTAAGCAAAAATAATAAACTGTTAACTAGTTAACACCTTCATTTTGGTGTTCTAAAAGTTGTCTCAAAAGTCTTATGAAATCCCGTGTCTGCGCCGGAAGTTATTCAAAGTAAATGGTCACAATAATCAGTTTTTTGCGATTATCTTTTTAGCCAACAACATTTGTTGAAAAATGTAGAACATTAAATTTGCAACGCATTTTGTTTGAAAATTCTTTCATACGCCCGACAGCTTTTGAGATAGAGATCAGAAAACTTGCAGCACTCAGCCATATTCTCTGTAATAGAAAGTTAACCGTGAATCTCAGTGAATAATACCTCATATGAAGTTGTTAAATTGATGCATTTTATTGGTTCGGACTTCCATTGTCTAATATGATATAAATTGATTTGAAATCCCTGAAAGAATCTATGAAAAAATAAAAAGATTAGCTGAAAAATAAAAATTATTGTATTGAGCAAAAGAAACTGAAATTGCAATGAAAAAAAAAACAACACTCAAAAATTTGAACTATTAACACGAGATGTAAATTAAAAATTGTTAACAAGAAGTGAAAATTAACAATTAAAAGATTCCAAGCTAAGTTATTTCACGACGTTTCGATTGTTAGTATTCACAATTGTCTTCGGGTGATAACTGGACTTGGTCCTCCGAGATCATTCGAGTGGTTTCACCTATCCCCTCTTCCCTCTCTCCACTTCGGCGGTTTTAGCTGACCGTTTGGCGGAAGTTAGTCATGTTTCGTTTGAGTATAGGTTTCCATATGTTATGTATCACTACGTTAGTTTGGCAAAATGCGTTTTTGGACAACATTGTATATTCGGCTTCTTTGAATTTTCTCCTAAACCACTGTTCTTCCTTGTAGATGATTTCAGCTTGAGCCCACTTGTTGATAGTAATATAGCTATAGGAGTTCTGGCTCATTCCTTATGGAGATTAACATGGGAAAACGGTCCATTCTGGCGTTTTTTGCACCTCAGGATCAGTTCACACGGAAGGGACAAATGTCCGCACTTCGTCTCCGCCAGACGTACATTCTGTGTGAATATTGGTTTGTTCATTGATAGTACAATAACATATAATTCATTATAACATTAAAAACAACAATTCAAAAACAATTCTCCAAAAGGCTCAGAGGTGCGAAATTGTTTCCTCCTTTTCATAAAAGAAGATGTATGTATCTCCACTCACAAGCGATTTTGGTGAAATTGGTGACGCGTGTGAATCATTGTATTCGTGCCACTTGCCAGTATAAGGATGTCTACAGAATGCTGTATAATGTCTGCTGTAGGTAGACCCAGTGTGATTCGAAAGTGCATATAGATTATAACGACAAGGAGTCACATTGTGTGCTGCATAATTGTTCATATCTAATCCATCTAGACGAAATTCGATGGCAACATTTAACTTGCCTCTAAATCTTTCTGTTGGAGAAAATTTTATAAACTGAATGACTAAAATACGTGGAAACTTATGAATCGATAGAGACTTTGTGCATTTTCTTCTTTCCTTGCAACTTGAACACGTCGATTTTCCATATCCATCCAAAGTTTCCTCTTTTGTGAAGAAAGCCAAGCACTGTGATAAACTTAATGGCCAGTTCCTTGTGGTATGGGGAGTGATAAATCCCAGAAAGGATCGAAGGTTACAGATGAGTGTCCACAATGTGTGATTTTATCGTGGATTTTAATTGACCAACGAAATTATCTACAATCTCAGAGTTATATGTGAATCGGGCTTTAGATTTTCAGAGCCTACTTTTACCGTTATTCAGTCAACCAATCAGCTATTGCGCATACAGAGGCAAATTCAAACCACCAGTAGATGAACAAAGAGCTTCTGCCCTAAAATCCCATGTATTTTCTTTTGGAGCCAAACTTTTTTCAATTTTTGGTTCAAACAGGAATGGGGGAAACATGTGACGTAATCGACGAAGGATGGAATGAGTATCGTAGCGATTCAAGCGTGGAACTCCGCCCTCTGCCTCCTTAGTAATCCGCCTCGCCTCTCGGCCCCCTTAGTACTCCGAATCACCGCTCAGGCCCCCTTGGGACTCCGCCTCACCCCTTGCCCTCCTTGTCACGTTCCATTCACGTGATCCTAATTGAAAAAGTTTATAGTTATGAGAATCGAACCCGGGTCCCGGGTCATCCGCGTGGTACTCGTGGTAGACGTTGTTCTTAGCCTCAACACCAATGTAAGATATTGGATATGATTGCGAATGGTGGGTATTTATAGCGTTTGTTTTGTCGGGAATGAAATTGACTCATTTTATATACTTGACCGCATTTTTTTTATTTCCGTAGAATGTTAGGGAAGTTGTAACGTCATTATCATATTGAAGATAGGAAAATATACTTAGATTTATGAAAGAATTGATATTTCATATAAAGGTGTGTGTGAGAATGAGACACGTGTGACGTAATCGAGGCAAAGAGAGATGGAGATGGTATCGAGGTTATACGCCGTCAATGCCAGTATGGCAGGTTCGGTGTTGCCAGTTGTAAAATAAATCGCTGTTTATTGGGCTATGTAGTGTTGCCGGTTTCAAAATTAAGCATGAAGGGTTAGGAATACGACTCGATAAAAATTGGAAGCGCGAAAGTGATATACAGGGTGTTCCTTAAACAGATGCTAATATTTAAGGAGGTAATTCTCAAACCCATTTTAAGAAAAAAACGTCCTATGGACGTATGTCCTAAACGCCTTAACTTTTGAGATACAGGGTGGCAAAGTTTTCAAAAATAATCAGTTTTTTAATAATAACTGAGATAATTTTGTAGGCATCTTTGGCATATTTGGTACATATGTTCCATGCCTCAAGGCGCATTTTCTGATGTACAATTTTCTTAATTTTCTCTGCCAGTGGCGTCCGTACGAGTTTTGAAATGTATATTTTTGGCGAAAA